GAGCAGCGAGCGGCAGGGAGCGAGGGGCAAGGGGCGAGGAATAAGGGACGAGGAGTGAAGGGAAAGGAGCAAGGGGCAAGTGGTGAGGGCAAGGGGTGAGGAGTGAGGGGAGAGCAGAGAGGAGCAAGGAGCGAGGGTGAGCGGCGAGCGGCAGGGAGCGAGGGGCGCCGAGCAGCGGCCCGGGCCCGCGCGCCGGCGGGCGGCACACGCAGGGAAACGGCTGCGGTCCCAGCATCCCGGCATCCTGAGGAACAGCTGCATTCCGGGAAACGGCGGCAAAACGGGCAAGTGATTCAACTAGCTAAATCATAAAAACAAGCTTTGTGGTGTGCTTGTATCTGGGCTTTTTGTTTTGTTTTCTCCTCCTTTACTCCATTTAAATTCATGTTCTTGTTTCTCAAAGTGTCTATACTTCCAAAAATGCAAGACTTAAGTCTGTGACTCCTGTCACAGACAGTAACTGCTGGTAGTTCCTGGTCTTTTGACTTTCATGTGTCACATTGGGAGGGCTCATTCTCCTCCTACCCATCTGTCTGATCAGCTGCTTCTGAACTCTTAAACTCAGCCACAAAGCAGGGGAATTATTATTATTTTTTTAAATAATTTTACTATTAACAGTCTGATAATTTCTGGAAAAATGTGCTCTAAGTGTCCATGTTTGAGCAGGGTGGTTGGACTAGATGATCTCTAGAGGTCCCTTCCAACCTCAACCATCCTGTGMWTCTGTGATTTTGTGATTCTGTGAAAAAGAGTACGGAACTAGTGTGTGTAGCGTGTGTCGTTTTATGTAGAGCTAGAGACAGGCACCACCGTCCCAAAGCACTCTCTCCAGGGCAGCGCTCACGTGTCGGCTCTCCTCTAACTTTCCCTTCTCTCCCCGCTAGCACCAGCCTTGCCTTTGCTGCTTTCCAGCACTATTAGCTTTAGGATCTCACTGTGCACAACCATGCAGGCGCGCGGTGGTTTTAACACGCAGGGCAGTCAGCAGGGCTAAAATCACCCTGGAAAAYAGAGTTTCCCTTGGAAGTGCACGGCTACGTCTCAGCCACGGGAATGCACAGCTGGGACGAGCCGGCTATGAACAGTGAGTTGTGCTCATGGATCCGGAGTGTTTACTCGACAGTTATCTTCATCAATGTGCATTTATCTTCGGTTTGCAATCTCCAAAAAGGAAACAGCCAGAACCCACAGTCCAAAACGTGACTAAAGACTTAAAGAATTTGATAAAGTTTGTTTTTGATGGCTGAGGCTGCACTGTGGGGAATTGGGGATGAGAAACTTCACTGCTGTGAGATGGGGCAAAACACACTCTTGGATCAGCTCTCCTTGGCGGGAGGAGCTGCCAAAAAGTCTTCCCATGGTAGCGAGAGGAGACTCCATCTTCTCCTCAAAAGACATAGCTCTGCGTGGCAGGCACCAGCTGTCCCTAAAGCGAGGGAAAAGCTTCCCCGGGTGCCCGTTCCCGGGGAGGGGGAGCCGCAGGGGGGAGCAGCCGGAGCGCCCATGGAGGATGGGGATCAGGTTGGTCTGGGCCAGGGAACAGCTCCCACCAACCCGGCCTGGGGGCTCTGGCCTTGGGGAGGTGGTGCGGGCGGTGACTCCTCGTCACACCACCCATCTCACAAAAGCACCCATCAGCTTTAAAAATATCCGCTGGAACTCTYAGGAACTCCTTTAGACTCTATAATAAATCCTCCCTAAATCATAGGGTACTATTTTCATATAAAACAAATTATGAAAGAATTCTCTCATATTTGTTAAACAAATTGCAACAGGAGAGGGATTTCGATGATCAATCAGGGTAATATCTGCTGTGACTGCAAGCCCAGCAGCATCAGGAAAAAAAAGCCTATTGAAAGAAAAGCACTTAGAAGTAAGCTCTTACAAGAGCTACGTGAAGCATATAGAGATTTTTAATTTGGGAAATTCAAAGTACAGGACAATATGGTTTCTTATACTCAGTGGAGAGGAGAGAAAGGAAAAGAGAGAATCAAGAGGAAGACGCAGCAGCCTGAATAGTGGATACGCTTTTAGCATCGTGCTGAGCAGAGTTGCTATTCCTTAGGTTATCCAGGTCAGTGGAAGGTATAGAATGCATCCATAGTTTATTTATTTATCTTTTTAACATATAAATCCACCCAATTTACATACAGGTTTTACTAAGACTGCAGTTCAGACAGTAATTCCTCTGTGCAATACAATATTTTTAAATACTTAAGAAATTATAGAATATATTTTCACTTTTTTTCAGATTAATTCCAGTTATTACCTTTATATTACATATTATTTACACATCTGATGAGTGACACATTCACACCTTGCATCTTAGTCAACAAAACCTGCAGACAGGGTCCTATGAAGAAAGTGGCGTCATCAAAGAGACGAGGGATGCAGAGGGACCCTGGCCTGTTCCCGTGTGGGAAAACGGGATCCGTTGGCTGCCCGGGCAGCCTGGAGCTCCAGCTGACTCCCTTGCTCCCAGGGCACCTGTCCCGGGTTCTCTCTTAATCACCTCCCTATGGTTGAATCCATCTCTCCTCATCCTATCCCCAAGGGGAAGAATTTATTCCTTKGTAGCCCCAGTTTTTATGCAGTGTCATCAAACCTACCCTCAAGCTCCCTTTCGCCAAGGCAGCCAATGCCGACACCCTGCCCATTCCCTTGGGATCTTGTTTTGACATCCAGAGTCCCTTCTCTCACTCTGCGGTCGGTCCGTATCTGGCTGCAGTTTTTGGGCCAGCTGTTGGACACGACCTTCTGCTGATGTTTTACCAGCTCTGCTCAGAACACCAGAAAAGCTCCAAGTGTGTCCTACAAAACTGCTGTTTCTGCAGCTCGCTGTGAGATTGGCCTTTTTTTCCTCAAAAGCATTTAATCCACGTTACCTGCATTCAGGCTTTGTGATCTGTTTTCCCCATCCTTTTCTGCCCTACAGCTTCCCAGCCCATCCTTCCCCACCTGTATTTGCTCCTGTGCCATTAACGAGCACTCCGCCACCATCGTTTCCCRAGGGCCTTAGGTAGACTCATTTCTCCCTTGGGGTAACTATGAATTCAGCATTGTGCTCCAAAATTAAAGGCAGCATCATCTTGCAASAAAGAAATGCCAGAAATTAGATTTTAAAATATTTTGCACCTACTAATCTGAGAGACAACAGCAGAATATCCTATTCAACGTAACTCATGTTTACAAAACATGTTTACATGATKTAGAGGAATATCACATCAGCTGTATCAGACACCAACAGTATAAAGTTTGCTACATGAAAATATAGAACTAGATTACTAAATTTATGGTGAGGAGGTTTAAGGGGGTACATAGGAAAAAGGAGAGAGAATAGGGGGGGAAAATGGAGAAAAAATAAATTTTTATGTTATTAGTTTTATTTCTAATATCACTTGAGTGGACRATTTTCCCACTTCGCCCTGTTTTGTCCCCTTGTACTTCCTATTGGTACAAAAGTAGCTACTGTGGATTTGGTTTAAGGTAACCAGATGCACCTGTGGGAAGCACATAAACATCCATGTCCAAGAATCATGGTCTGAGCTCTGCAGAAACACAGGTTCAGGATCTCCAAGAGCCTCTCCATAACCGTACCAAGTGTCACCAAGTTGGTTCCCGAATTCCGCTCTCCTGTGCCGGGTTTGGACAGGGGCCGGGGAGGCCGCCCTGGGGCGCAGGGGCCTCCACGAGGCCCAGCCCCGGGAGACGCAGGCAGGAGGCAGGCAGGGGCAAATGTTGAAGACATTTATGCTCTTTTGGGGCTGACACACTGCAGAACGCCCCTGTTTTCCTCTTCTCTTGGAAAATACCCCAAATATGGTTCCCCACAGCGGGGCTCAGGCACCCTTAGTGCATGGCCAAGTCACGGACACACTTAGAGAGGCTCCCAAGAAAAGAGCGAGGGTAAAACCTGAGTTTCAGATGAGCCAGGAGGGCCCTTCCACCAGCCTCAAGGCACTGCGGAGATGCTGCCGGGGCTCTGCAGTGAGGGGAGCCCTGAGCTTCCCAAGAGCATGGATGTACATCCAAGGATGCACAGGATAAACACAGTCCTGAGGCAGGCTCCTGCTGTCTGGCCCAGCAGAGTGTGTAGGATTYGGTTATTGAAAATAATGAGGGGGGCACCTTTGCCAAATGTTGTGACTGGTCAGGAAGGATATTTTCCTGAGGAAGAGATCTCGTAACAAACACACTTGACAAGAGTTGCTTGGGGGCAAAGTCAAAACCAGCGCGCTTGGTACGGCCCTGCTCTGCAAGATTTATTTTCAGTGCAACAGAGGCACTGTCCCACCTCCATCCTTAACCTGAAAAACCTAATTACTTTCTTTACTAAGGGCAGCAGTTGAGGKGAAAAAGTGCACTTCTTACAGCAAGCAGGGAGCACACTTGGACTGCCAGCAAAGCTGGTTTTAGAGCAGGGCTCTACTAGCCCCAGAGCTAAACACCAGCTTCCTGCAGCCCCTGCCAAGCCAGACTGACAGARCTGAGTTACTGCTCTTAGAGCCGAGATCACTAAACAGGGGCAGGGTGGGCAAAGCAGAAAGCAGAAAACAAACGAGGTGCAGTTATTCCTAAGATGCAGCATTATCAGAGGTTTCAGTGTCTATGCATAGGTCATTTAAAATGTCAGTACCTGAGTACATAGAGATAGCACATAAGGTAAGAATCAGAAGAAAAATAAGTATTTAACATTATACACTGCTTGTATTTTACAAAGTTACKGCATTTTTTTCATCAGGTAATTTGTTTTACATTCCTAACCATTTCTATACTGTGTAAAAGGCACTGGGGTAGAATGATATGTCAAAGGATACAGAAGTTTCTTTTGCCCAGAACAATCAGACAATTATRTACAAGACAAGAACATGTTTTATAAAAATGTCAAATGCACAGTACGAGGTCTTAAAATACATTATTAAAAAAAGATATGTAGTGTGCAAAGTTAAGTAAAAAAGCTTTTTGATATTTCAGAAAAAGTGTTAAGAGTAGCAAGTTATTTCTGTGTTCAGAGCAGCTTAATACTTGATCAACTAGAAATCCTCAAGAACTTGAGTGATTTCATCACCCGTGCTCTCAGTGAAGGGCTTAGTGGGCTGGTGACAGTGGTTGGGTATCGGTGAAAGTTGTATATTAATTTAAAAGGTAGATGTCCTTATGCTGATTTCCAAAGCTCTGATGATTTTTCTTCAGCACAGTTGGCCTGACCAGTAGTAAAGCTGGCAACGTAATCAAAATCTCCATCTAGGCTTGCTGCATTTGTTCAAAACTTCAGAAAGTTTGGAGAAATCTGCATGAAATACAGAGTTGAGCAGGTCATTGCAAGTGCCATGTTARA